CAGCGTCGAAAGTCGCCACCAAGCAAGCCGACTGGATTACTTCAGCCAATTGATCCACCCCACAAGCCATTTGACCAAGTCGGCATGGACATTCTCGGCCCATTTCCTTTATCGTCCGACGGCAACAAATGGGTCATTGTGGCAACTGACTATTTGACCCGCTATGCTGAGACACAGACGATACCACGAGCCACGGCTTCTGAGGTAGCACAGTTCTTCATGTGCCACATTGTTCTGCGCCACAGTGCCCCATCTACAGTGATAACCGACAGAGGAACAGCGTTCACTGCACAGCTTATTGATGAAGTTTTTCGACTGAGTAACACTAGGCATCGAACGACGGCTGCTTACCATCCGCAGAGCAACGGCTTAACCGAGCGACTAAATAAGACAGTCACAAACATGATCTCCATGTACATCGACGTCCAACACAAAACATGGGATCGCATTTTGCCTTATGTGACGTTTGCTTATAACACCGCCGTTCAAGAAACAACGCGATTTACACCGTTTCGCCTTCTCTACGGCCGCGAAGTTCAGACGATGCTGAATGCGATGCTTCCTTGTGAAGGCGCCGATCAATTAACAACTGACGCAGAAGAATTTGCAGAGCGTGCCGAGGAAACTCGCCAGCTCGCCCGGCTACACATTGGTCAGCAGCAACAGGTCGATGCACGACGTTACAATATGCGTCACAATGACGTATCTTACAGCCCAGGAGACCACGTTTGGGTTTGGACCCCTGTTCGACGCCGTGGCCTCTCCGAAAAGTTGCTCAGCAGATACTTCGGTCTGTATAAAGTATTACGCCGCGTGAGCGACGTAAACTACGATATGGTTCCGGACGCTACGTCGTCACGATGAGTACAACGAAAACAACCGACCTCTGACATAGTTCACGTGGTGCGCATGAAGCCTTATTTTGCGCGTTTCTAAAAGACCACTTTTCCTGTGTTTTTTTTATTTTATTTGTGCTCCGACAATAGGCAATAGTACGAAATTAACAGCGCCATCTAGTAAACGCAGCAGGTACCACACCCGCCATTTTGATGCTGGCGAGGCTTGACCACAACGCGCGAGCAACCCACATGCGAACGTACGCGTTTCGACGCTTCGACTGTCGCAGTCTGATTTTTCTGCTGGCGAAATTCAAGTACACTGATGCGTGCCGCTGTGTAAGCAGCGCGGAGTCACAGACAGCGACGGGAGCAACGTATGTGGCATGAATTACGATTTTGCATCGATCATTTAAACGCAAAACAGGATATGGTGTGCAGAAGCTTTATGGGCACATTCTACGATGCATGAATCTCCGCGGTTCGCGGGCTGCACGAGAGCAATGCAGAACTAACCATTTTTCTGTGTTAAGCAGACAAGCCGTGTTTTTATTGGTTTGTCAGCTTTGCGGCTAGGTGTTTTCACTACGTCGGGCCTCGACACGACAGTGGTGCTCTTCGATTTACCGTCTCAGACTCGCCGCGGACTCGCTTAGAAGCTAGCTTCTCAGCGAGTCCGCACAGCTGTGCGGCATTTCTTATGACTTCGGGGAAGCTTCGGACTTCCTGCGAACTATGTACGGTGAGTCTGAGATGCTAAATCGAAGAACCCCGGTGATTCCCTGCAGTCTAATGGAGAGTCCGCCACTGCTGTTTGGTAACTAGTGTGATAGAACCGAACTGTTAGGACGGGCTGTTTTGTAATGAGATTACACCATGTAGGTAGACGAAGTGTAAATGTTATTTTTGAAGGTGATTGTGCACAGCGACGTGCAGAGCTTCCGCTACTCCGAGTAACATGCCATACACGCATCCTAGAAAGGCAGCTCAGTTTCTTGTTCGCGTTCAAGCTCCGTTGTGCCCGGTCACCAGGCAGCAATAAAACAGTCACTCGGAAAATAAGAGCTATGCCCACTTTCCAGCAGAAATGTATCTGCTGAGGCACTAAACTTCGGTTCCCCCAACGTGCACGGACGCACTTTTTTCATTGGGGCCTCTCTCAGTGATTTTCCCTTACCAACAAAATAAAATCGAAAAAATAGCAATGCGCACTGCCGTAAGTTCGGAAAACTGGCACCAAGGGTATCGCCAGGGCTCGTTCGAATTACGTTCTGCATGAGTTCAGAGCGCGGCAGTCCCATTTATTCGTGAGACGGGATTCTGTCTCTGCATTTTAGTCTCTTAGGCTCAGTTGCGTTGCAGCTGTTTTTGTCTGTGTGCGTGTGTTGCAACTCACCTCACCTGAAATATGTTTCATGTTGCATTATAAAACATACAGCTGTTGAGACAGCCATAACTTAGTTAAATGGGATTCTGCCTTTTGGCTGCCTTACACTCGCATCACCAAGAAACCTTTGAGGCTACTTAGAGATGAAAATAACTTATTTAAATTCCCCCGAGTGTCTACAAGTGACTAATGTCTCTTAAGGCTTGCTGTGAACGGTCATATTTAGGAAAGGCTGCTAGGAGAGGGGAGTGTACACAGAAAAAAACTTGGGGGGGGGGGGGGGGGGTCACATCACAAGTGCATCATTAGTCCTGCAGTGCACGTATAAGCGTGACCTCTATTTCTTGTGAGATGCATTTGTGATAGTGCCTGTGTTTGTAAACAACAATCGTTTAAACAGCTAAAAGAAACCTAGCTCATGACGTCGCACTAAATGTTTGTTTGCTTACAGCTTGTAGGTATCCTTCCACCACTTTCCGAAAGATGCAATGATATACGAAGTGGGTTGTTGCGGTCAAGAAAGATGAAGGCCCGGAATTTCAAGTCGGCAAGTCAACGAAGGTCTGCTCGAAGCATTTTAGGTCATCGGACTTATTGCCTAGCGTTGCGAGTTGCCGCAGCCTCCTTCGGGACTTAACAGTTCCGTCAGACTTTGCTTTTTCCAAGGGAAAAAAAAAAACGGAAGCCCACAAAGCTAATGTGCTTCACCACAAGTAAGAAGCCAAAGCCCGGCTTTAGGCCCAAGAGTGCTAGGCGATGAGCCTATGCATAGCCCAGATGAAGTGGAGGCAGCACCGGTAGGTTTAGAGGAACCCACTAGGCTAAACAGCTCACTTGAAGGTGAAAATGCACGCTTGGCCAAAACGATAAAATAGAAAAACAACGAAATCGTGACGGCAAGGTGTATGCTTCCACGGCGAAGGCATAAGATTTGGTTTGCTGCTCGGATGACGTCGGAGCCTGGTTTATAAAGTCTTCTACAGTGGAATTCGATATATGTGGCAAGTTTTCTAAACAGTTTGTTAACATCACATGTTCGGGCGCTGAGAAACGTCTTGCTGTGGCCATCGCAGTAGCTCAGCGCAGTGAAGGAAGTGTTCAGGAGTCATACGGCCGTACTAGCGAACGCGTTGCCGTCGACTTCTCGCCCACATTAAAATGGCGGCGGGGTCAAGTTGCACTGTGTTGCCAGAGCACAAAGCAATTTCGCATATGGTCTATTGCCTCATCAGTGGTGAACTTATCGCGTCTAACATATGACTATTGGTGCCCTTTTTCATGGTTTAAGCTACCTTGTTTTGGTTTTTTTTTCAATAACTTTACAGCATCGGGACGATGCTCTTCCTTTTTTTGTTGAGGAGGAATATTGCCACCTACTTCTAGTAGTGGGTCGTATGCCAAGGTGAAGGCTCACACCACAAAGAAGAAAGAAGTGCGCGTGGCCCCCCCTGCTCTGGCAAACAAGCCCAACCGACGCGCTTGGTTAGAGCCCTGTTGCTCAGACGTAAATAAACCTTGCCGACACCCCCTGGAGCGACGTGACAATATTGTGCCAAAATATTTCGGAATCAGTCTGTCTAATTCTTGTTCAATCAGGGAAAATTGTGACTGAGCTAGAAGTTCAATTCTCGTTTCATGACCCCTTCAACTAAAAAAAAAGTAACAATAGGGCTCCATGATAAATATGGCTTAATTTCGTGCTGAAAATAAATATAACTATAAAGCTAATATGCAACAGTACTTTTAGTGCAGTCAAACACATGAGCAATCAGTAACAGTCTCATCTTACCGGTGGCCTTCCACCGTAGCTCGTTCTCGCCGCATTCTGGATTCCTTCGTCTTGTGTGAGGACCTAAATGAAAAGAAAGCATGAGCACCCCTTGGAGCTTCTTTTGGTGCATCGAGCTTACGTCAGTGTCCAGCGAAGGATCGAATTCGTTGTAGCCAGTGTACAAGTCATCGTCATCTGACGGCACCAAGTGCACTCTTTCCATCTCCGGATGAGTTGATGCGTGCCGGCTGCTGCTACTGCTGAGGTTGTGAAACGTTAAAAAATGCGCTAGACACATCGGCTGCATAGATTGTTGTATGCCGTCACCGAGCAACGGCATCAAACCTGGTTGCTAGGCAACAGTTTATGGTATACGAACCATCGCAGCCCCTTTCCTTCCTCCGTGATCGCAGCAAACCAATAAGAGAACGGCGGTCACTTTTGTGATGACGCCACCTAGAGGGCGCTAACACCGAAAAGTGGGTGGGCTTGGTTGGCGAAGTTTAAATTTGCACTGCAAACCTTATGCAGTCCTAAAATAAAATTGCGACAACACAACTGAATATGCTCTTTATTTGAACCCTTCAACACAATAGAATAAGTTATCGCAATATAGCTTTTTTGTGTCCTCTGACTTTGCAGAATAGTGTACCGAATCACTCCATGTTTAAATATTGTATTAATTGCAGGACACGAAAATCATTTTGCTATTCATTGCTTACGTATGCACGCCTCCTAAGCTATTAGGCTTTATATATAAAAAAATTTAATGCTTCAAAACAAAACTAAAAAAGCGCCTTGTACAAAGCGTAACGCGCCACAGTTTTTCTGCACTAGCTGATTTGTACTTGAATGTCCAGATGAAATATTATACCAATCATAATAACAACCTCCACAAATACTTCACTATGAATTTGTTCCAACTAGTTTTGCATGACAACTTTTCACACGTTAACTCCTACTTTTTTGGTACTCTTTTGTGGCTTTGTTTGAGCAGGCTGTATCGATCCAGACGTATCCAAAAAGACTCCAGCTTCTTTCTGCTGTCTGCAATGTGCGATGTAGAAAGGAGGTTTTTAACGAGATTTGTTTGAGCATAGCCTCATAGAGGAGGCTATGGTTTGAGGTATCATTGATGGGAAACCGACTGGCGGCCTTCGTGGGCCGGCCAGTAAGGGACTTCAATATTGAGAACCGCGTAGAACGCGCCATCGGCGTCGAGAAGCCGAAGGCTGCACCACGGCATCCGAGCGACGCTAAGTACGAACGCACCAAGGCTACTACCGGTAGGAGTTTTCTCCGTCTCTAGTGTGTGCGAACCGATGGTTTCTGGTGGCATTGACCTTCAGGTCAACCTTCCAACGAAAAGGCTGCATTTGGTGGAGAAAGGCGACGTGAATCGACGCTACTTTTTTCTGATTTCCGCAGACACGAGCGCGGTAAAAGAAAAACGGGAGGACCTGTTGAAGCGCCTGCGGAGCGTCAAGGTGGTGTCATCCTCACAGGTAGCATTATTCATCGTCGTCTACGTGTGACAACTGGCTTTCAATTTTCTTAGATCGGTGTGGCTCGCTCCGTGATTTCGCTGCGCAAGTTTATGCTTGCCGCTATTTTGTTTGCCTTCTTGTTCATTTGGTGTCGCGTTAAAGTGATACATGTCATCTTTTTGGCGAGTCGCACCTTCCTTGTGACATTGTTTGTGAAGTAAACTCAATCTGCTGCTATGGTACCAGCATACCTGGAAAGTTTTGTGATAAAAATGTATGCACTTCAGCCATCTATGTTTTAATCATTATGTGTTTCAGGCACTTGCTTTTCGGGCGCTTAATACACCCAGACCTTGTGCTTCACACCGTTTTTTGGTCATCCGTAGCGCCATTCATTGCAGCCGTTGTAAAAGAAAAGCGTCCGTCCCAGTTGCGTCCAACGCTCCTAAAGCTCGTAGATAGAAAACTGCCCTTGAGACACGCACGAAATAGGGGCACCTTTCTGTAGTCACTCGCGATGTCGAACGCATTGAATGCCACCACATTTCATGCAGTGGTGTTAACAAAATGGCTATGACAGCTTCAAAGACGGTGGTATTAAGCCAGCTCGTTGAGCTAACAATGCATTGAACGCCAACGCACAGCAGAGGGGCCACTCCAAGTGCCGTAGTTTCATTGTATTCGTGTAACAAGGAAGTACAGTAGTAGCTTGACAATTTGAATTTCATGAGACCACAAAAAATGATCGAAGTAACTGAATCTGGAATTATCAAAACTATTAAGAAAGCAAAGAAATGTGTATCACATGAACTATTTCATTTTCTTAAAGAATATATGTAAATGCACAAAATATTTTGCATAATAGTTGTAGAAATCCTTCAATTTTTATGATTTGGAATTTTGTTCTCAGTTTTAGCACTGCTTAGGACTTCCATGTCCTAATCCGAAACGTGTTCTACACTGTACCTACAATGCGATTGTGGATCGGGCCTTGCATAGAAACCGTGGCCATTTCTGCCATTCGCCAACACCGTTTTCATTGCATAGCATTGCATATTTGGGGCATCCAGAGCTCTGAAGACCGTCCGAATAAACTGGGTTGCAGCTAAGTATGACCGAATTGATGGGACACCAAAGGCAACTATTAAGTCGACATTTCTTGTTGATATAGCGGTCTAGAAACCTCTTAGTGTTACTTTTGTGCCAAGGAAGCAGTGATTTTGACATAAAATCGCGTTTTAGTTATCCGCATCGGGTCAGCGCATTTTAAGTTACCCGCCTCAAGCGGAACGTGTCACGTCACTGTTGCCATACACAACGTTTCCCAGCTTTACTGCCGCTCGCCGACACTAGTAGCAGCAGTACAAAAGCAGCGGGAGCCACAACAGCAACAATAGCCTATGAACAATTTTCTGCCATTGGCTCGGATATGGCAGACATGTTTTGGTTTAACTGGGCCCCGCTTGATGGCACGACCTATGCAGTTTAACCAGGCGAAAATGGAACTTTTGATCTACTCATGCCATCCCCCATAGTAACGTCCGGCTTTTCTTTTTTCCATAAATCAAACAGAAACAAACAAGCAGCATTTTATTACGTCTCTTTGTGCATGGAAGGTTCTTTATTTAGTGCAGCTAGTTCGATTACTATTGAGTAATTGTAGATGGTACGGGCAACGTAATCGGCATCATTTTGCTAATGTCCTATTGTAGCGCATGTGTTCTCATGCATTTACCTTGATTTCTCAGTAAGCAGGGCACTGCTGTTGATAAAATTATGGTCTTAGACGGGGGGTGGGGAGCTCGTACATTGGTCTTTCACTCCGACATAAATTTTTATTTGATTTCAGTCTCCTTTTTCTTGCCATGAAGCAATGCATATACTGGCCAAGCCATATAAGAATCCATGTTTCCGAATTATTGAGTGTCTAATTAACTAGCTTATGTGGTAGTGTATTATAAAAGCGAACGTGTGCTTACCAGCATGTCAAGTAGACGAGTGTGTGAAGGTTCTCTCACGGTCCGACTAGTGTCGGAGCAGAGACATCTGTTTCATTGCAGCAAAGTGCACGCTATGGGACTCATGAGAAGCCGTATGCTCGTTCCCTCTATGCTTGACCATAGCTTGAAGAGCCACAGGTGTTTGAATGCCAGGGCTTAACTGGAACCTATTTTGTAAGGAAAGTTGGTCGGGAAAAGATTAAGTGCCGACCGATTGCTAAGAGCGCACTCACAAAGATGCTTCGCTCCCACTAATGCGACCTTGTCCACAAGGCATATAACTCTTAATACAAGAAGGTAGAATAAATAGTCTACAATGTGTCCCAAGCAATGAGTGTCAATTGGAGGCAGATTGCCTGAGTTGTGATTGAGTACATGTGTCACTGTTTGAATGTCATCTGAGACAATGGGAGCATATTCATTCATTTAGTCATTTATGGTGCCTTGAAGGTCTCACAATATAGCATTACGTGTGCAGATATCACAGAAACAATTGTTGGTCAAATGAGGTGGCATCTCTTGGAAGATAGTCTTCAGCGGCATCTCTGAAACGAGAAAAGTTGGTTATGATGCCGAACACGCACTTTCTTTTCATCATTAACCAGCAAAAGTGAAATGTGGGGCCTCCAAGTTTATCTCAATGCCAATGAGCCACCCAAGCCTTTCCAAATTGGGTGATGTGGCTTGCCCAATTTCTGTAGCTCCTAAGTACTAGGAGTTATTGCACTCATATTTTCTCATTTAGGTGTTCGCAACAAGCAGAAAAGAAAGAATGTACGCATTAGGGACGTTCAGAGTTTTGGTTTATCCTCACCATGCACAACTTTGACGTTTCAAAAGGTTGATATGTACTAAAGTGAGTGCATTGTATATATGCGCACATAATGTCTTGATATCTACCAAGCATTTGCAGGGCTAAGAAACAATAGAAGACACATAAAGGACACAGACTTGCTATGTCTCCCAACTGAAATTTATAGAAAAGTACAAAGCCAGTTTTCATACATGCACTCATGTTATCAACAGCTCTCAAGCATAAGTGACCAAACAAAACCTGCATTTCTTGTGAGTTGTGTACTCCGTTGGAGTTCTTGCACAGCTGAAACTCAGTTTTCTAATGTGAGTGGCCTTTATTGTTTCACTTTCTGTTGCAAGCTTGATAAATGTAGTGAGATCAAAATGCGGTGTGCATGTACACTTTTTGCGGCGATCCGCAAGATGGCCGCTTCATGAACCCTCGACAGCGAAAGTTTTGTTTGGACTTTTTTACAGGGATTTGTAGCTTTGTGTGTGGTAATGCCAAAATTGAATTGTAAATGCTCGAAGGCAATGTGTAATTTATGCTAGTATCGTTAATTCAGAACAATTTTGCATCACTTCGAAATGACTGCCTAAATACCATGAAAAACTAGTGCCCCAAAGCGGGGCAACGCATGAGACTACATGCGCTCTTGCCTTGGTGACACTGAACGCGCTGTTTTCAAATAGGAGAACCCGCAGGTGGTGAAGAATGAAACGATGTGGATGCTTTGAGTGTGGCCCCCTCAGAAAAAAAAAAGCATTCCCAGTATAAGCAACTAAAACAACCTTGAGAGAAATCGGACAACAGAGCGAGAGGGGTGTCGAACAATGTTCCTCTTCAGGTGCCAGTCGGGGTATTGTGTGGGCCCTGCAAATAAATTTTCTCTGACACCAACAATACTCGCTTTATTTCGCAACATCACGACAGGGCCCCGTGTCTAAGTCAAACCTCAGAAAATGTTAATTGCGAATTCTCAGATTAGCATGGACCCTTACTTTAAGACCTAATTAAAAACTTTTATGGGCAATGCTTGCCACTAATAATGAGGCAGACATGCTCCCGCATGCAGGACTCTCAACAACGCCAGCACCCCGAGTTTTCAAATTTAGTGTCAGGGGTGTTTTAAAAAGAAAAATGCTCATGTGCACCGATATTAAAGCGTCTGGCCAGTGTACTCTTTGCCGCAGCCGAGTGGTACCTTGTACACCATGTGTGTTACACAATCAATGTAACGGTCAGCGTATGTCTTTGTGCCCGATTTCTTGTTATCCTTGGTCAATAAAGGGCACACCTAAGCTAACTTACTGGGGGTCAAAAAACGCAGCTTTTATGTTGTTGACGACGTGAAGGCATCCGACGTAGATGTGCCATCGTCGCAGGTTGAATGAAAGGACGAGAGGTACAGGAAGAAGGGAGCTGCTGAAGTAAAGCAGCGGCCGTGGCATCCAGCCAGCTATAAGCCCACGAACATTCTAGGCGCCTCGCATCACGAGCCACTTGCGCTCATCATCTTTTTCTTTAGCCGGCTGGCCGACACTAGCGCTATGCTACACTGTTATACCCGTCATCTTCAGATTGGGAGAGAATTTTTTTATGTATGACATCACCTGTAGTCTTCTTTTTCATTCTGTTTATCCTGTTCCTTTAAGAACATGGAGGGTATGGTCTTAAAAAAAAAAGCTTGCACTTTTTAAGACACGATGGTTCAGGAGCAGTTGCTGGTCGCCCTTGATGACACCTTCTAAGACTGTGGGTCCTCTGGTACGAACTGGAATGATGATGCTGAAGAGAAGTGCAACAGTGACTTGCCTCTTTTATCATATTCAAGGCACAGTAAGTGATTTTCTTATCTGGTAGATTGGCATTGTGCATAGAAAGCAGTACCGATTGGGGTCTTAAATCAATGACTCAGCTGTGTGTAGTATGGGAATTTATGCATAAAATGACGTCCCTTGAACAAAGCAGCCGAATCACAAAGCTCACCGAATACAAGGTCTGTCAGAAAAGTATCCGACCTTTGGTGGAAGAAAAAAAAAACTGGCATAGTTGGAGCTGGCACGCTTGCTGACATGAAGGTAAAGCTATTCCTACTCTTGCAGACTTTTGCTGCCATTTGGACAGAAACTGCTCATCAGCCATACGGTGGACATACGGTTCACCTATGCACTACCAACCCAGCTTTGGATCCATCACGCGAAGTCCCGTCCGCTGAAGCATTTTCATCGCTGGACGAGGAATACTGCAATGCTCGCTGGGACGTTAGCGTTGACAATTTAGTCGGCAACTGTTACGTTTGTGGAATACCACGTGACCCAGAACTGGCGTATATATTGGCGCGACACCTTCCCTGTGTGGGAATGGAAGCTGGCACGCTTGCCGACATAAAGCTAAAGCTATTCCTACTCTTGCAGGCTTTTGCTGCCTTTTGGACGAAAACTGCCCATCAGCCATACGGTGGACGTACGGTTCACCTATGCACTGCCAACCCAGCTTTGGATCTATCACGCGAAGTGCCGTTAGCTGAAGCATTTTCATCGCTGGACAATGGATACGGCAATGCTCCCTGGGACGCTAGCGTTGACGATTTCGTTGGTGGCTGTTACGTGTGTGGAATACCATGTGATCCAGAACTGGCGTATATATCAGTGCGACATCTTTACTGCGTGGGAATGGGAGCCGGCACGCTTGCCGACATGAAGCTAATGCTATTCCTACTCTTGCAGGTTAGTACTATTCGTATGCTCGATGATCAAAATTCCTGAAGAAATTGTAGCATTGCCAGCTGCACCAATAAAGGCATGTGTTCCGTGTACTGCGTGCTCTAGATTTAATAGGAAAAGTTTTCATTTCATTTTGAGCCGAGTGCTATATTTTGCTCTTCTTTTGTTGCTTTCTGGAGACATTGAGCTCAGTCCTCGGCCTTTCGTTAAAGGTGAAATGGATTATTTGAAGAATTCGCATGATGCTATTATGACTAAGTTAAAGAATACAGATGCCAGAATAACTAACAGGGATACTAAGATGGCTGAAATCAAGAGCAAGCTAGAGGCGACTCAGGGCCACATAGACACCGTTATGAAATTGGTAGAAGAGCAAGCCACCGTAATTAAGGATCGAACTCATCAAGTGAAAGGTCTGCAAAAGAAAAACAATGATCTTGAGAACAGAAGCCACAGAATGAATCTTGTGTTTCGAATTAATCTTGTGTTTTATGGCGTAGATGATAATGACCAGCATGAAACTTCGGAACAGTCGGAAGCGCTGGTAAAAGGCATCTGTACTGCACAACTGAGATATGACCTGATGACAATTCAAAGGGCACATCCTGTAGACCATTTTAATGAGCGGAGAAAACGACCAACTACTGTGAACTTTTCATTCCAGAAAGAAAAAGAGGCCGTTTTGAAAAAATCTAGCAATTTCAAAGGTACACCGTACAGCGTTGACCAGGGTTTTACTTTTGAAACGTGTAGTTTGCGCCAAGAAACTTGGGAATACGGTAAAGTGAAAAAGGCAGATAAAGAGGACCAGGTTAAGCTAAAAGCTGATAAACTGATTATAAATTGCAAAGTATTTACATGGGACGATGAAAAGGATGAAGTCGTCGCCTTGACTAAATGTAGACAAAAAATGTTGTAACCTATGCTTAACGTGGTCTAATTATTGTAGTAGTGAATTGTTGAAGTGTAATAAATAAAATAGATGTGTTCACCAGCTTGGTTGAGTTTCTAAAGGCAGACATCGTGTTTGGTACAGAATCTTGGCGCAACGCGGCTATCACTGGTAGCGAGGTGTTTCTGCACAACTACACTGCCTTTCGCAAAGATAGGCCGAGTTTCGGCGGCGGTGTTTTCTTGTTGGTTCATTCATCACTTTCATCCTCTGTGCTTGACATCGAGAATGACGCAATAGAGTCGGTTTGGTGTACTGTCACACTAGGTAACAGGTTTTCTTTCGTGGCTGGGACATTTTATCGGCCGCCCAGTGCAAATTTAAGTGTATTAGAAACTTAGATGATATCATTTTGGAGGTATGTGACCACGCCATATTGTTAGCTGGTGATTTTAATTTACTCGATCTCAACTGGAAAGATGATTCATGCGACGTGTTGCATGCCAGTCGTAGTATTCTTGAAATTTAAAACATTATTGATACTTTTGGGTTGATACAGTACGTCTTGGAACTCACGAGACTTAAGTATAGTGGTTGCAGCCGCTTTGCTTGCCAGCATATTGTCGCGGGTTATAAATGACAGGGGGTTTATTTAAAAACACGGACAGTAGGACTTGTAGAAACGCTCTCAGAGAAGGCCGCTAAGATTGTCGTCTTTTTCACTCTGCTGCGCTGCGCCTCTCGAGCAAATCCGCGTTCTTCGTTGTCGTCACTATCTCGCCGCTAAATGCAGCTATGCACGAAGCATTACCCTCCCGCCAGAGTGAGCGTCGTCCCGACGCTCAACAGGTAGAGATGCGGCCATCGAGTGTTTACATCACTGAGAGTGGTAAAGTTTCATGCGGACCACGTGCACTGTCTCAGGCAGATGCTGGCGACGTTTTGAACAGGAGGAGGCGTCGGGCACGACTTCGTACGTCACGTCGCTAAGACGACGCAGAACCTTGTAGGGTCCGAAGTATCGGCGTAGAAGTTTCTCTGAGAGGCCTCGTCGTCGTACAGGAAACCAAACCCAGACTCTATCTCCTGGTTGATAAATGACGAATCGATGGCGAAGGTTGTACCGTTGGGCGTCAAGTTGCTGCTGGTTCATTATTCTGACGCGGGCAAGCTGCCTTGCTTCTTCGGCGTGCTCAGTGAAGTCTGCGGCGTCTGTCTCTGAATCATTGCAATCTTAAGGCAGCATGGCGTCAAGCATTGTTGTAACTTCTCTGCCATGAATTAGTGCGAACGGCGTCATTTTTGTTGTTTCCTGGCGCGCCGTATTATACGAGAATGTGATGTACTGCAATATTCGGTCCCAATTCTTGTGTTCTACGTCGACGTACATGCAAAGCATGTCAGCGATTGTCTTGTTAAGTCTTTCTGTAAGCCCATTAGTTTGTGGGTGGTAAGCTGTCGTCTTCCTATGCGCTGTGCCACTGAGCGTACGCACAGTGCGCAAAAGCTCGGCTGTAAACGCGGTACCTTTGTCTGTTATGACGACAGCTGGAGCACCATGTCTCAGAACAATGTTCTCAATGAAGAACTGAGCCGCTTCAGGTGCAGTGCCACTCGCGATTGCCTTGGTCTCCGCGTATCGGGTGAGGTAGTCCGTCGCCACTATAACCCATTTGTTGCCGCTGTCCGATGTTGGGAATGGGCCCAGCAGATCCATTCCGATTTGAGAAAACGGGGTTTCTGGCACGGGCACAGGATGTAATAGCCCAGCGGGTTTGACAGGTGGTACCTTGCGCCGCTGACAGTCAGTGCATGTTCGGACGTAATGTTTAACCTCTGCTGCGATTCTTGGCCAATAATATTTTTCTTTGATGCGTGTCAGTGTTCTTGTGAAACCGAGGTGGCCCGCAGTGGCTTCGTCATGGCAGGCTTGTAAAATTTCGCTGCGGAGAGCTCCAGGAACTACCAGCAGATAGCTTCTACCTGTTGATGAAAAGTTCTTTTTGTACAGAATTCCGTCCCGCAAACAGAATGACGATAAGTTCTTCGAAAACACTCTTGGTGCATTGGCGGCTCGTCCGTTCAAGAATTCTATAAGTGAGTTGAGCTCCCGATCATCTTGTTGTTTCCGAGAAATGATAGCTGCATCAACAACTCCTAAAAAACCTGGGAAATCATCATCCTCTATAGCCGGTGATTCAATCGGTGACCTTGACAAACAGTCCGCGTCTAAGTGTTGCCTTCCGGACTTGTAAACTACGGCCATGTCGTACTCTTGGAGCCGTAAGCTCCACCGTGCTAAACGTCCAGATGGGTCTTTCATGTTGGTCAACCAACAAAGAGAGTGATGGTCGCTTACGACTTGGAAAGCGCGGCCATATAAGTACGGGCGGAACTTCGCAACTGCCCAAACGACGGCCAGACACTCCTTCTCCGTTGTTGAGTAGTTGGACTCGGCGCGTGTCAACGTTCTGCTAGCGTAGGCAACCACTCTCTCCACACCATCTTGGCATTGGACAAGAACAGCGCCTAGGCCCACATTGCTGGCGTCTGTATGGATGGCTGTTGGTGCATTCTCGTCGAAGTGAGCGAGGACAGGTGGAGTTTGTAGACGCTGTCGCAGCTCGTTGAATGAAGCTTCTTGCTCTTCACCCCATACAAATGCGATGTCTTCCCTTGTAAGGCGGATGAGTGGAGAGGCGATGTGTGCAAAGCCTGATATAAATCGCCGGTAGTAGGCGCAGAGACCCAGAAAACGCCTGACCGCTTTCTTATCAACAGGCCTTGCGAACTTTGCGACGGCTGCTGTTTTATCTGGGTCAGGCTTCACACCTTCGCGACTGATTACGTGTCCCAGGAACTGGAGTTCTTCGAAGCCGAAGTGACATTTTTCCGGTTTGAGTGTGAGTCCAGCGGACCGTATGGCTTGAAGGACTGACAGTAGCCGCTTTAGATGCTCTTCAAACGTGGCCGAAAAAACGATCACGTCGTCGAGGTACACAAGGCATGTTTTCCATTTCAGGCCGGACAGAATGGTATCCATTAGTCTCTGAAACGTGGCTGGGGCTGAGCATAGACCGAAAGGGAGGACTTTGAATTCATAAAGCCCGTCTGGCATCACGAAGGCGGTCTTTTCTCGGTCGCGCTCATCTACTTCTATCTGCCAGTATCCACTTTTAAGGTCCATTGACGAGAAGTAGCGTGCATGCCGTAGCCTGTCCAAAGAGTCATCGATTCGTGGTAATGGATAAACGTCCTTTTTTGTAACATGGTTCAGCTTACGATAATCGACGCAGAAACGCAAGCTGCCGTCTTTCTTTTTCACGAGTACCACTGGCGATGCCCAAGGACTTTTTGATGGTTGGATAACGTCATCCTCTAGCATCTTCTTGACTTGCTGCTGGATTACCTCACGTTCTTTCTGAGCGACGCGATAAGGGTTCTGTCGGATCGGTCTTGCTGTGTCTTCCGTAGTTATACGATGCTTAGTCAGAGGCGTTCGACCCACTCGTGATGTCGATGAGAAGCAGTCCTTGAACTGGTCGAGCAGCTCCATAAGACGGCATCTTTCAGTCGGTGTTAGACTCGGACTGGTATCAACTGGTGGTGTATGTGGAGGTGATTGAGCTGTGGCTTCCCCTTGCATTAGAAGACAGTCGTGAGAGTAGTCCAGCTCTTCGAGGTACGCCACAGCCGTGCCTTTACCGATGTGCCGGCGCTCATTCGTGAAGTTGGTCAGAAGCACGTCTGCGCGCCCATCCACTAAGCTGACAATACCGCGAGCGATGGCGATGCCTTGGTGAAAAAGAAGGTCAGTGATGCGTTCGACTATGGCGTCTTCATTACAGTGCACGGCGCAACACACGGAAACAAGACTACATGACAGTGGTGGCACGCAGACGTCGACGTCGACCACACGTAACACTCTGGGTTCTTGGTCTGGATCAGTGGTCACAGACTTGTCAGCGGCGAATGTGATCACACCGTCGCGTATGTTGACCACAGCACCGTACTCTCTTAAGAAGTCCATTCCTAGAATCATAGGTTTGCATACGATACTTCTGGAGCCAATGGACGACGCACAGCGTCTGCATAGGTATACGAGTTTGGA